GAGACCACCTCTGCTTCTTTCTTTAATAAACAAATTTAACAAACACAAAATGGATTCACTTTTATCTGCATCCAAATTAGAGTCTGTAATTTCTCACTTCTTTTATTCAGATATTCTAAACTGTTTCCAAATTCCAAAAATATGAATATTCAAGCTTTATCAACTTTTTCAAAATGCCTTTTGCCTCTCGTTCATGTTCAGGCTTTATTCCAAGTCTTTGAAAATATCTTTTTCAGTTCTTGACATGTCTCCCTATGTCATCAGACTTAAACAATTTCCTTATAGGCAGACACCCTTACAACACATTAAAGAAAGATCAATTCTTGGCAAAACTGAAAAGAAACCATGTTTCCAAGGCAAAGAATGGACACCCCCAACAGGAAGACAAGAAGAGAAAATGTTCAAGGTGACATTCAATTGCACTCACATTTCTTAGTTTTATAGAATCACAATACTTCAATCAAACCAGAATACTTTTCTAGGACACTTTCCCAGGCTCCACGGAGAGAAGATAGGTGTCCCAGGAGAGTGAGCAGGTGGACAGTACCTATCCAGGACAGCTCACAGGCTTAAAGATAATTTGGCCTCAGGGTGATGAGGGCCTCAAAAAGAGTTTTGGTTTTGAAGTGACATTTTATGTTTTATTTTGCTGGTTCTCCTACCCGCACCAAGTAAACAGAATGGAAAGTTGGTACTTAAAGGGTACAAAGTTTCAACTGGAGGAGATATAAATGGATTGTTACAAATTCAAGGCCAGTGTGTTCTGCACAGTCTAAAGCCATCCAGAACTACAAGGGGAGACATTGTCCCCACCTCAAAAAACTATACTTCATGCCACAGAACTTGGACTTAAAAAATTATTGTAATGGTAAATGCTATGCTATATACATTTTACCTCAATTTAAAAAATGATTAATAGGGTTAGGAAGACAGCTCAATTAGTAAAACGCTTGTCTTGTAATCATGAGGACCTGAATTTGGTACATCAGAAACCACACAAAACTTAAAAAGGAGTCCTGGAGGTGGTGGCACACACCTTTAATCCCAGCACTGGGGAAGCAGGTGGATCTCTGTGAGTTGGAAGTCATCCTGGTCTACAGATTGAGTTCCAGGGTAGACTACAGAGCTGCACAGAGAAACCCTGTCTCAAAAGTAAGTAAATAAATAACTTAAAAAAAATAAAGATCACTAGGTGTCGTGGCATATGCTTGCAATCCCAAAGTTAGGGAAGTGAAAACAGGTGAGACCTCAGGTTACCCTAGCCAACCTAGCCTTTTTGGAGAGTTCCAAGCCAAAAAACAAGATGAACAACAGCCAACATTGTTCTCTGGCCTTTACATGCATACACACATACATGTGCATAGCCATGCCCACACATGCACCTGCATACATGAGCATACACACACAGAATGATTATTAAAAATATAATTTTAACTAACAAATCGGTTGAGATAATTGTAAATTCACATATAATATTAAAACATAATTGAGAAGTCTCTCATGCACTCAGTTTCCCTGGATAGTTTTGCAGAATCACAGTGCAATATCACAGCCAGGACATTTGCAAGTCCACTTCTCCCCTTGCCTTATTCAGATTACCCGACTTGACTTGTGCTGGCTGGCCCTTATGTGTTAAGTCAGTACAACTGCATTTTCTCTGTAGGCTCACATAATAACCATCACTGTCAAATCACTCAGTAGCTCCAGTTTATGAAGATCCTTCCTGTTGCCCCATTGTAAGCATATCTACTTCTCTTCCAGCCTGGCTTCTCCCCATCGAAAAGCCCTGGAATCCTTGTCATTGTTTCACTAGTGCTATATACATGCAATCAAATATTCATATACACTTATATATCAAATATTCACATGCATATGTCCTCTTTAAGATTTATTTATTTTTTTAAAAAGTCAAAAAAAAAGAAAAAGAATGGGCTGAAACTGAAGGTTGGAAATTGAGACTATGAGAAACACATTCGTATTGGTGAAGTAGAGCTTCATCCAGGTTTCTGTCATCTGAGTCTGTTCCCTTAAGAAACCTGCATGTTGCAACAACACAGAAAGATTGAGTTCATCTTATCTTAAGAACATTGCTTTTAATATAAGCCTGTGGACATTGAAGCAAAAGATTTTTTTTCCAGTGTCTAATTAGCTGTTCAAGGGGAACTGTAACACCTGTTCTAAATTCTGTGTGAACACCTGAAAAATAAGTGGCACAAAGTAACAAGAAAAAAAAGACTTATTTACTTTTTTTCCTATGTGTGTATACATATATATGCATGTATATATTTCTGTGGTGTTTGTATGTGCATGGTCTATGTCTATGTACATGTATGAAAGTCAGAAGAAGGTATTAGGGGGGTCCTCCTATTCCTTTGAGGCAGGGTCTCTCCCCAAAGCTGGGACTTGCATTTTTCTCAACCATGTTGTAAATCAGCAAGTATCAGAGATCCTTGCTATCTCCATTCCCCACTGGAGAGAAGGGCTCCAGGCACACAGGACCTCTGGTTTGTTATGTGGGTGATGGGACATGAACTCTGGCCCTAATGATGACACAGCAAGTGCTGTTAACCACAGAGCCATCTCTCCAGTCCCTACTTTGTCTTTTTCTGCTCCATGCTATTTCCTGGAGACCTCTCCTCTTAGTGGAATGTATTAGTAATTGAATCCTTATGTGGAATAGTTGTCCAAGGTGTAGACATGCCACAGTTGTATAACCATTCCTCTATGGGAAGACATCTGGGCCACCAAAAGATGGTTTTCACTATTATAAATGAAGTTTCTCTGGACGTCTATATTCACAGGGGTCCATGTGAATACAACTTTTCATCCTCTGGGTTTATGCTGAAGGCTGCAATTGTAGAGTTAAATGTAGTTGTATGATTTGTTTTAAAATAAACTGTCAAACTTGGAGGCCATGAAGATGAGTCAGTGGGTAAAATGCCTACTGAACAAACATGGGGACTGGAGTTCAAATCCCTAACACCCACATAAAAAGCTAAGCCGGCCAGGCATTGGTGGTGCACGCCTTTAATCCCAGCACTCAGGAGACAGAGGCAGGCGGATCTCTGAGTTTGAGGCCAGCCTGGTCTCCAGAGCAAGTGCCAGGATAGGCTCCAAAGCTACACAGAGAAACCCTGTCTCAAAAAAACAAAACAAAAAAAGTTAAGCCCGGTGGTATGGTATGCTCCACCTGAGCACTGTGGAGACAGAGACAAATGGTTCCCTACAACTCACTAGCAGAAATGGAGAGCACTGGTTTCAAGGAGGTCCTATCTCAAAACCCAGGACTCAGGGACCATCCCAGAAGGAGGAGGAGACAGCGGTCAGAGAAAACAGGGACAAAAACAAAAAAAACAAAAAACAAAAAAAAACCAAAAAAGCAAAACCAGTGTCTTCTGGACGTCATAGAACCACAGCACTCATGAGCTCTGCCTTGCCTGTTCAAGATCAAGCCAGTCAGCATTCCAGCCCAGAGAGGGGCTCATGGGCCCCCACCCCTAGAGGAGCTACTGACCGCAGATGGCTCCGCAGGGAGGGAGTTGACTTCCCTTAAGGGTGTGACTTCTAGTTATTCATGATTCAGTGAATAACCCCATACCCATGAATATATGGGCAGCACAAGCTGCACTGACTGGGTGAGTTATGAAAAAGCACAAGGACATGAAGTTGAGAGGGGAATGAGGAGATGGGTAGTGGATCTGAAAGGAGTTAGAGGAAGGAGTGGATGTGATGGAAATAAATCCTATGCATGCATGCATGCAATTCTCAAAAAATTCACAAAAATATTTTATTTTAAAAAGCAGAGAAACAGGAAAACACCTCAAGTCCAACTCTGGTCTCCAGACATACACTCACCTTAAATATGAATGGTTGCTTTACATAAACACACACACACACACACACACACACACACACACACACACACACACACACAAAGAAAGAAAGAAAGAAAGAAAGAAGAAAGGAAGGAAAATATAAACTGTCCCAGAGTGGCTGTGCCAATTTACAATCCCACCACCCTTGTACATATTCCCTAGCCCCCATCCTTGCAAGCATTTGCTATTGTCTTTACTTTTATTTCAGTAACTCTGACAGCATGGGCCACCTTGAAATGGTTTTGCTTTACATTTCCCCAGTACTGATGCTGAACAGCCTTTTGTGGAGCACCAGGAAGCAGTTCCAAGCCAATGGGAACTTCTGAGAAGTCGCTATGAGGAGTTTAAGCAGTCCCTGACAAAGGCCACAGGGGTCCTGAGCCAGAGCATGACATTGAAGGGACAGGGTGGGATTCGGGTTAGGGATTCCAGAAATGTCTAGAAAGCTGACCAAATGACTTCTGAGACAGAGAGATTGAGAGCCACTGCTATGGAAGATGGGGGAACCCAAAGTAAATTTGAGGTTTCCAACTCAGAGAAGAATCACCCCAAAACACTTTGTTTTGCCCGAAGCCCTCTATGTAATAAGCACGTAGATGTGATCTCTCCAAACTGTACTTCAAGATTTTAAAATCACATTTCCTAAGGCTATCCACTCACCATGCACACAACAGCAGTACCCACATCATTTAGCCTCCAGATCATGCCGCATGAAAAGGAAGCCAACCAGCCCAGCCACAGTCAGAGCAGTGGTTACTCAAACCTGGGCTCTCACTGCAGACTTAAAGGAGGAAACCCAAACTCATGCAGCCCAGCCAGGCCTTTTAAAATGCAAGGCGGCCCACAGAGAAGCCGGCCAAAACCCAGAAAATGCAGGCTCTAGTCTTGCCACTGGTTTTTCATGAGTTTACTGCTTCGGTACAATCTCAAAGAAATTGAGGTTATCCTTCGAGTACAGAAGGAAGGTTGATGAGCAAAACCCAGCTTGCCCTGTTTTATCACCTAAATCACAGTCACTGATCCTGGGTAACACAGAAGCCACAGGTCAAATCCAAGATCTTACTGCAAACCAGGGAGTTTTTCCTCCCAGGAATAGGAAAGTGACTTCGTGTCTCCTAATAATACCTCAGAAGTCTCCAGCCCAGAGAATGGAATGAGCGATGACACCAGAGTGCAAACCTGAACCTCAGGGCTAGCTCTGCATCCATCCAATTGATTGCCTCTGTTCTTCAGATCTGTGCTGGCAGGCTCCATGCCGTGCTTTTTTATTGTTTTCCACAACAGATAAAAGAGTGAAGCTTCATTTTTTTCCATTTATATTTATCTTCTTGCTTTATTTTTGTATTTTCTAAAATTAAAAAAAAAAAAAACAATGTCCGGATCCTGCTTATTTTAAAACAAGCAAGCTAATTTCCGCTGTGCAAAATTGGGTCCTTAAGGAGTTTCCCTGGAGGATCTGCAGTTCCTGAAATGAACCCAATCTGAAGAGGCTAGGAGGCAGAGGGGAAGGATGAGATCCATGTGACCTGAACTTCCTCCTGGCATTTCCCTCTGGGAATTTACTCAGGTCCCTAGATCACAGACCCTCCTATATGTCAACACCACGGCTAAGTGGCTGAGCTGGCTGGCTGGCTTCTTTTTCATGCTTTGTTTCAGGAGGCCAGTGGTGTGGGTGCCACAGAGATGTGCTTACAGACTGGAAGGTCTTGTCCACAGTCATGTCAACCACAGCCCTCTTGAACTTGGCAGTCCTGCTCCCCATCAGGATGATGAGGTAGAAGGCCACACTCCTACTGCTGGGAAGAGGACAGTAGGCTGGGTGTTGGAGAAGTGAGTTTGGGGGTTTTACAAAAATGATTTCCCTATAGAGTAAAGCATCCATCGTGCTCCCCATGACACAGAGAGCCTTACACTGAAAGCAGCATCTGTAATGTCTGGGAATGCTCCAGAAGAATGGGAGAAATATTCATTTAGCAGCTTTTTACTTTGCCAAGATATTTTTAAACAATGACTTTTACTATTGTTTTATAACAAGAATACTTGAAGTCCTTACAAATGTGTATATAAGAGTAAAAGAGAAAGAACAAAAGGATAAGAGAGGGAGAAAATGATGGAAGGAGGGAGGGAAAAGGGGAGGGAGGGAAAGAAGGAAGGAGGAAGAGAGGGAGGGAGACACTTAGACTAAAGAGCAATGCTTTAAATGACCATATTCAGCTTCCTGCTAGATCTCTTCATCTCCCTTTTTTGGGTACCATCCCCTCCTGGTTGTGCAAGGGACTTTCTGAGCATCCTTTCTCACAGGAAAGATTAGTAGGTCTCAGATTTGGGTTTCTTGCTAAGAATTTCTCCAGTAACCAAGCTTAAGAATGAGTCAGCTCCAGTGAAAGTTGTACTCTCTGGGGAAGAGAACAGAGAAATAAAATTCTAATGAGGAAATGTTGACTGACTACCTATCAAGAACTGACCCCTGGAGTGGATTCCCTTTTTCTGCTTAAGCCTGAAACTGGTGATCATTCTCAGGGTTGATCGGGAGTTAGTTGGCCCTAATCTTGGCAGGTACCATTGGCTGCAGAGACCTCAATATGCTAAGACCTCAACCACTGAAAGTGTTCCTCCTCCTAGGAGCCCCTACAGGTGTGCCTGGCCACACCAGTGAGGGCGTGATCAGGGGAGGTCGAGGATGATGCTGGGGCAATTCTTAAGGGGCCAGGAGAGCCCCTTGGCTCTGGCCTCGCTAGCTTGCTGCCTCTGGGCACGCTCTGGCTTGTGTTTTGCTGGTGTTTATCTGAATAAAGATATCCTAACTTTACAGACTACGGATCATCTTCGAACACGCAATAAAGACCCGGAAGGTATCTCTAGATGCTCACCTGTCTGCAACACTTGGATGCTCTGTGAATACGGATTGGTTGGATTTAGCCCAGTCTGCATAGACTCACAGAATGAATGGATAAAGGGTTACTTACTTCTCTTTTTGAAGCTGTCCATGCCAGTTTTGTGGCTTTGGGCCAAGTGAAGGTCTCCCCACTACCGTTCAGAAACAATTTGTAAAGGACTGAAAGCCATGAGCCAGGTTATAAGACACCAGCCTCTTTAATCACAGCTGACTTCTTGGCACACCTCCTTGGGCAACAGAACCATGTAACTTCTTTTCTACTGGTGTGGAAGACAGTGCACTGTGAGAAGCCATGCCCCTCATTCCTGCAATGAAGACAAACCCACAACCAAGAAAGCCAAAGCCACATGGAGATAAAGTGCTGATTTCAAAAGGAAGCCTAGGAGGTGAACAACGTGAAAAAGGACAAAAGAAAGAAATATAATAAGCAAAGGAAAAAATTCTATACCCTGGTGATGACATTTTAAAATATGAATTGATACATTGAGGAGTCCTTTTCCTGTTGTCTTGGAAAGCTGGCACTCTCACACCTCCTAGGAGGAATGATAAACAATTGCAGCTTTTCTGGAAGTCATTAAGCAGAAGATGATCGACATCCTTTGACTCAATATTGAAAAGGTGTGTTGGAGACATGATGAAGAATGTGCAAAAATATCTCTATATTAGAGTCTGCACTTAATGCCCCATACAAGGAAGTTAAGTTAGGTCTGATACATCTATGTGATGAAGTAATGTAAGCATATTAAGTCAGTATTTGTTGAAGTGGAAAGAAGTTCACAATACAGGGTTAAGTTTTCAGAGGATTAGAAATAGTGAGGCTACAGTTTTGTTTTGTTTTGCCTCTTTGTTTTTTGGTTTTTGGTTTGGTTTGGTTTGGTTTTTTAAGACAGGGTTTCCCTGTGTAGGCCTGGCTGTTTTGGAACTTGCTCTGTAGACCTATATGGGCTCAAACTCAGAGATCCGCCTGCTTCTGTCTCCTGAATTTAAAGGTATGCACCACAACTACCTGGCAAGCAGTTTTTAATTTACACAGCTTATTGCAAAAGTATTCCTGAGTAAAAAAGATAAATAAGAAGAGTTGCCTACTTTTATAAAGATCTTACTTATTGGCATGTTAGATTCTATGAATTGAGGAACAACTGGGGCTGGAAAGATGGCTTAGCAGTTAACAGCATTGGTTGCTCTTGCAGAGGATCCAGGTTCACTTCCCAGCACCCACATGGTAGCTTACAACTGTCCTTAACTCCAGTTCCAGGGAATCTGACACCCTCTTCTGGCTTTACAGGCACCAGGCACAGATATGGTGCCTATAAACATATGCAGGCAAAACCTGCATATACCAGCCAGGCATGGTGGAGCATGCCTTTAATTCCAGCACTCGGGAGGCAGAGGCAGGTGGATCTCTGTGAGTTTAAGACCAGTGTGGCCTACAAAGCAAGTTTCAGGCCAGCCAGGTTTACATAGAGAAATCCTATATCAAAAAGACAAAAACAAACAAACAAACAAACTATGCATACACATATAAAAATAAATAACTTTTAAAAAGAAGTTTGCATCCCTAATTGAAAAAAGAGCTAGGCAACAACAAACAGATACATTAGTAAGAAAAGTGTAAAATCATGGTAAGTGTTGAGTAGAGAATGAAAATAGGGTGATGAGTAAGAGAGAGACCATGCTAAGATTTAATAACTGAGATGCAAATTGCTAAAAAGTGAAGGTCCTGCCAGTCTTCCATGTAAGGAGCAATAGCTAATGCAAAGGCCCTGAGGCAACAGCCGGATGTAGAATACACATTTAGATGCAACTGGGTCAAGTGGGTAAGGCAGAGTGGGAAGGGGAGACTGGTAAATGTTGTCAGAGAAATCCTCACAATTATGAGGCTACAAGTAAGCCATGACAAGTTTTATTCATCATACTGTCAAAAGGCAATTGAAGCATCAAACAGAAGACATGATCTCATAAACAATTCCAAACTTCATTCTGGCTGCTATCTGAAAGACTGGATTTGAGAGCACAAGAGTGAATGCAGAGCGACCAGACGATGGGTACTACACAGTCCAGGCAAAGCTCAAAAGTGAGGAGCTGAGATGGAGAGAAATGGATACCGTTAAGATTACCTTCAAAGTTAATACCAATAGTATTTGACTCCTGGGGTTCCCCCCTCTTTCATCTTTTCCTCTCAAATATTTCCAGTTCTAATTCCAGGCCTTCCCCATGGAACTTCATCTACATGACCTGTCTTTAGGTTCTATAAGATGGTTTGGCTCTCAAACAAAATTTCCAGTTCTTTAACCTAATTTAGGGTCATTTCCATTTATTCCAACTTGGAGAATGTTATCAAGCAGCTGTGGCATTCACAATCCTCCCAGCGGCTTTTGGAGAAGGCTACAGCAGTTGTAACAAACAAGGATCAGAGAGAAGTTATATCTTTTCCCGTATGAGAGACACAGATTCAAACTCAGGTCCGTTGGTTCCAGAACCAGTACTTCCCCTCTATGCCATGTTAGGTCAATAAAATGCATTCCTGAGCTGGGTGGTGTTATACACCTTTAATCCTAGCACTCGGGATGCAGAGGAAGGCAGATCTCTGTGATTTCAAGGCCAGACTGGTCTGGATAGTGAGTTCCAAGGCAGTCAGAGCTATGTAGAGACCCTGTCTCAAAAACAAAAACAAACAACAACAACAAAAAGAAAACAGGACTCAACGGCAAGTTGTCAACCAAATATTGCTAGGAAACCACAATCTAAGTCCCTTGTTGACGACTACCCAGTAACATCAATTTTCCAGCATCCTTTGCAGCTAGATGGGGATGTATGAGAAGCCATAGTGATACAAAAAAAGCCAGCCCTCCTCCACATGCTTTGCCCTGCTCACATCTGCAACCCAGTCATTCAACACTCCAGCTCTATCTATTCATAACAGAAGAGGGCTATTGGGGAGGGAGACTGAACAAAACAATGACTGGCAGGAATCTGAATGACCACATGAAGCAGTCTCCTACTAACCTAAAAAGCTCACCCTAGATTGCAATGAATAAATTTTATTCTTGTAGGCTTATTATTGAGTTTCTTCTTTACAACAATCCAACCTTACCCTAATCAAATATCACATCAATACAGTGTAAATACTAATGATATTTTTGTTGCACAGTAATTGAAGCCAGGAATGGTGACACAAACATGTAATCCCAGCACTTAAGAATATGGAGAGTTCAAGGCCAGACTGGGCTACATAGCAAGTGTGTGTGTGTGTGTGTGTGTGTGTGTGTGTGTGTGTGTGTTCACATGTGCATGAAACCTCCTGATAAATCCTTAAAACACCCTAAAACTAACTCTCTCTCTCTCTCTCTCTCTCTCTCTCTCTCTCTCTCTCCTCTTCTATCCATGAATAAATTTGTCTGCCCTGTGGCCTACATTCAATTTTTGGTGCTCTCCTTAGGGATCCTTTAAAACTTGTCTTCATTGGAAATCAAGATTTCCCTGTGTGAACTAAGATTTATTTCTATCCAACCAGTGACAACCTTCCCAAAGGACCCAAAGTTTAGCAACCAAAATAAGGGCCTATGAAACAGACATGACTCAGTCTTAGGACACTCATCAGAATTGTCAAAACATAGTGTCTCTCTGAGCTTCCCCCTGGCTCACATGACTCAGAGTCCTCAGAGGCCACAGTGCACCTGTGGAGCTCATCCTTGAACATTGGATGCATGTCACTGATCGATGACAGCCAGACAGTCACACAGCACTAGCTCTGGAAGCACTATAGAAAGTAGAGGTCCATGCTGACTCCCTAGGACACGGGGTGTGTAGAATTTCTGTTCTAAACCTAACAAGAAAGGTAAGGAAATAGGTAAAGAAACAAACAAAAAGGCCACCAGATTGGTGTAAAATACACTGGCTTTGGACTCAGATAGACATGCATAAAATCTTCGATTTTGGAACCTGTTTCCTATAAAATACAACTATCAATTCTTACCTGCTAGGATGGGCACAAGGACATAGGCAACATCTATGACACATACTGAGTGTGCTTGTAGGGAAGGGACTCGGGAAATGATTGCAAAACAAAATCCAAAGGGATCCACCCCGGCCCAGAACAATAATAAGCCAGCAGGCCTCCCTACCTTCCAAATCACAACGAAGGGAATGTGGCCTGCCAGCTGGTTCCCAAGGCCTCTAGACTGTCAAGGCCTGGCTTCTGTGGGTGCTATTGTGGGATGGGAGGATATGTTCACTGACCACATCCCAGCTGGTCTGCAGCTGCGGCTGCCCAAACCCTCTAACTATACTCATGTCTAAATCAGTCAGCTGCACAGAAAAGTCGACTTCCCAGTCACTTTATTTTGCTGCCAAAAAAGAAGAAGAAGAAGAAGAAGAAGAAGAAGAAGAAGAAGAAGAAGAAGAAGAAGAAGAAGAAGAAGAAGAAGAAGAAGAAATGTGTTTGTGTTTGTTTTCTGTTCCTAGGACTGATAGTTGACTTTTTTTTTTTCTGAACCCAAATCCTCATTTTGCTTTGATTAGCATTCTACCATACATAGCAAATGGGGCTAAAAAGCTGACAATGTCCTTTGAGGATTAGGTCTTTTTTTCTTTTTTAACTTGTGTGTGATGTGTTGTGCATATATGATGGTGTCAGCCATCTACAAGCCACATCATGCATGAAGAGGTAGAGTCAGTTCTTTTGTTTGTTTTGTTTTTTAAAGATTTATTTATTTATATGAGTACTCTATCTGCATGTACACCAGAAGAGGGCACCAGATCTCACTCATTACAGATGGTTGTGAGCCACCATGTGGGTGCTGGGAATCAAATTCAGGTCCTCTGAAAGAGCAGCCAGTGCTCTTAACCACTGAGCCATCCCTCCAGCCATGCTTCTACCTTGTTTTGAGGCAACATCTCTCCTGTTGCTGCTGCTGTGCTGTGGACTCCAGGCTAGTTGGCCTGCAAGCTTCCAGGCAATCCTCCTGTCTCCACCTCCCATCTCACTACAGTAACTCCCATCTCATTCAGTAACTGATGGCAGTCCCTGTATCCAGCCTTTTACATGGCTCTAGGAATAGAATTCAGTTTACCAGGTTAACATATTTGCCCACTGACCCTCACCCATAGGCATGGGCCCTGGGATTTTAAATTAAACAATCATACATATTATCAGGCATGGAAAACTAAGTGACTTTCAAAGACTGGTTTGGCGGTTCCCTGCAATGTGAGTCTGATTATCATTGACCCCTCTCTTTCCAAGTCTCTTCTTCTTCAGCTCTTTGTAGCAAAACTAAGGTTTCTGTATGTTTTTATCCTTTGTAGTGCTAGGGATCAAAGCCAGGGACACACACTTCTAGGCAAGCACGCTACCACAGAGTTATCTCCCCACCCCACTTCTACCACTTTGGTATTTCTTCATTCAGTTCTGCATAATATTTGGGTCTCCAAAGGCTCCTTCTTCCAGTGTCTTAAAGAGTCCTGGAACACACTTTCCATAATGTTATGGCAAGAGTAATAGGGTCTCCTGGCTGCGCTTCTGCCTCTTGTCTCTGCAAACCAATACCATGCACCTATTTAGATTCCTTTTCAACTCAGCTCTCTTCTGTGGTTCTCTTTTGCTCACTCTCCAGCAAAGATGGCAGTCAAAAGACAACTTACTGTAGTCTGATCTCTCCTACCATCATGTGGGTCCCAGGAATTGAGGGAACTCAGATCATCAGTCCTGGGAGCAAGCTCCTGCAGCAATCACCTTTAACCCACTGAACCATCTCAATATTTCCCATACATTCTAATCTAATTACTATCTTGGTGTCCATTTTTAGACTTGCTACAAATTGTTTGAAACTCAGTTGTTTCTTTAGCCTAGTTAAAACACCTACCTCTTGTGTGGTTTTCTACCATAAGGCCTGCATGTTCTTCATTCCACTGACCCCGAACCCAACACACCCCACAGCTGCTGGCCAAGATAAAATCTAGTTGACAATGTCAGATAATGCAGCTAAGTCCCTCCCTTTCACACTTGATTCTTTTAGCAGGTCACAGCTTCATAAGGTCACTAGTTGGAAGAGAAGGCCAGCAGGCTGACCCAAAGTAGCATTTGCAGTGCAGATTTTATTGGGGCTATTTTATTAGAGGGAGAGGTCTACATGGGTGGACAAGGAGCTTGCCACTCCTCAGAAAGATCCCTTAACTTCTATTTTTCAACTACATTACAGATGTCTAAGGGCAAAGACTGTG